GGGGGGGGGGCTGTGTGCCCAATGAGATAAGGGCGTAAGGGCGCTCCGCGCCCCGCGCCGCCGAGCAAGGGTTACGGTCATGCGCAGCAGCACGGCGGGCCCTCGACGGAGGCTGCGTGCTGTGCTCCAGCGAGCCACCGAGGCCGGTGTGGGGAGGGAGAGGGGAGAGTGGGGGTGAGTGTGTGTCCTATGAGATAAGGGCACAAGGGCGCTCCGCGCCCCGCGCCCCGCGCCCCGCGCCCGGCGCCGCCGAGCAAGGGTTACGGTCATGCGCGGTACGGCGGCGACACCCCCCGCCCCCGCACACACGCGCGTCTCAGAATTTTGTGATTGGCCCCCGCTCCAGCGAGCCGCCGAGGCACGTGGAGAGGGTGAGCGCGGACGAGGGACCTAAGTGAACTAGCGACAAGTTAAGCGGGGTGGGGGTGTAAATGCGCCCGCCGGGCGGTACAGCAGATCCGCAGGCACACTCAACAAGGGGTATAAAGCGACTCGCGGGAGCAGAGTCCAAGTCAGTTCGCGTTTTGAAGTGAGGTAGAGCAAAGAGCTCCCAGCTTCTCATAAATCCTTGGTTGAGCACTGCGCTCCTAAGTTCAAAGTTCATAGTCGAGCACTGAGCTCCTATTATTTCTCCTCTCGCTATTTTTTTCTTCCGTCGAGCAAAAAAATGGCACCTTCTCGCGTTGAGTCCGGCAAAAAGAAACAGGCCCGCAAGCCTTACGCCGGGAAGCAGCCGCGCTTCTCGCCCCAGCAGGCCGCCGCCCCTGCCCCGCTGGACGTCGTCGACGCGGCCCCTGCTCTCCAGGACATGCCTTCGCCCGGCCCAGCTTTGCTTCAGGAGACCGCCGTGCAGGGCTTGATGGAGGAGCTGGGCGTCCAGCCCCTGAATGAATTACCTGACCTGGACAGCGTGCTGGCATTCTTCGGGGAGGCCGGCAGCAGTGCGCAGTCGACCCCGCCCCCGCTCATTAACATCGTTGAGCAGGAGGCGGGTGCGCCCATGGCGCACTCGACACCAACGAAGGAAGAGGGCGACTCCACCATAGTCATCAGCAGTGATGACGAAGATTTGGAAACTTTCAAGAACGTGATTCCTCCTCCTGTGGGCATGGACAAGATGCCGGAGTGTGTCTTGGAGCACGCAGTGAATTTGTGTAATAACAAGGCGCTGTGGATCGGCGTAGACGTGGACGCCATGGAGGCGTGTTACGTCTTCCGCGGTGTGACGCAGTACGGTAGGAGAGTGCTTCGTGTCTCTAGAGACGAACTTTATATCCTCATGGAGCCTGATGTTCAGCTTTTCGTAAAAGAGGCCATTACAAACAAGGAAGTGGGGAAATTTATTAATGTAGGGGGCCTACGGCTTACGATTGTAAGATGTGTTGGGGGGCTCATCAATGTGAGAATTGCGAGATCAGGGTTTGTGAATCAGTGTATCGATTTTGCGTGTCTCACCTGGGGGAAATTAGCTGATTTTTCCTATCTGATAAAACGCATCGTGACGGTGAGATCAGACGCTGTGCCCTATGTCAGGAGCTTTATAAAAATGCTTGTGGATAGCGCTGTAGGCCAGCTTAAAGATGCCGATCAAACCAAAGCTTTTTTGATGAATAACAATGCTGTCATTATAAAGGCGTTGGAAGACGGGCCAAACGAAGACTATACCCTTCTTAGTGTAGTGTCTCATTACAATGCACAAATGTTATTCGATATGTTTATTTTGAAAAGTGAATTGTTGTTATACAGAAAGAAGTTCATGTGTCAAACTGTATTAGATAGGTTTTAGTATGTATGTGTGAGTGTGTGTGTTCAATCTCTTTTAGCATTATCATTTTTTTTCCATGTATAATTTTTTATATGTATAATTTTGTCCATG